GGCACCCTCCTTTGAATATTCATAAACTTTGTTGAGGTCCCCTCTTAGACATCTCATCTGGAGACTGGACAGGCCCAGCTCCCTCTGCTTTTCATTGTCAGAGGGATGCTCCAGTTCCTCCTCTGTTGCCCTCAGTGGACCCACACCTGGAGCTCTGTGTCCCTCTTGTACTCAAGAGCCCAGAACTGGACACAGCACTCCTTATACATCCCTCGGGATGTTTCTCACACAGCCCCTCTAAAAGCTTTGGCTGTGTTAGAATTACCCACAGGGGCACCCTCAGCTCCCTGGAGAACAGCACCTGCAGCGTAGGGTGAAAGATCAGCCTGCCCAGCTTCCAGCTGTCTCTCCTGGAATGCATGGATTCCCTGTAACAACATGGCTTTTTAAATTAATAAGTAAATAAATTTCTTTATATCACTAACTGTCATAAATAAAACTGTTGGCAGCGTTAATTGCACTGGGTTCTTCCCCCAGGTGTGAATCGCCATTTCCACATGATTTGTATCCGGGATAAATTCAGTCAGAATATCGGACGGCAGATCTCATCCAAAGTGATCTGGGACCACCTCAGCACCATGTATGATATGCAGGCTCTTGTGAGTATAAAGGGTTGATGGAGTTTTCATGGAGTTTTCATGGAGTTTTGTCAGGCCAAAATCACTGGGCCTGTTGTGCTTTTCATGGTACTTAGAATTAGGTGTCATTCCAGTGAGTTGATGGGGTTTTCCCTGAATAAAATTAATGTAGGTAGGAGACAATAAAACCTTGAGGGTTTTTGGGGTTTTTTTGATACCGTGTTCTGACTTTGTTTGTTAAAGTTGCCTAAATGCTGATCCAGAAAATGTTTATATACATATATAAGTGTCAAATGAGAAAGTTATCATTGTTTACATAAGAATTTGCTATGTTTGGGTTCCAAAAATGATCTCAAATGATCGTGAGTTGTGATCTCAGTTATCCTGACCTCAGTAATCAGTTTGATATCAGAAGCCTCCTGATTCTCTAACATCTGAGATGTCTTCTTAACAATTATTTAGCTCCTAATTGCATGTAAAATAGAACTTGAGATTGCATGTCAAAATTCAAATTAAAGTCTTTACCAGTCACTCACAGAGATCCTTCTTTTCTTCCTAAGCATGAATCTGAGATTCTTCCATTCCCTAATATAGAGAAGAATTTTGCTCTTCCTGACGAAATGATTCAAGAAGTGAGAGAAGGTGAGATGTGATTGCAGTCTCTGATTGTTGGTTGCTTTAATTAATCTCATCTCAGAATCTTTAACAAAACTCCCCCCAGAAAGCGTGTATTGTCAAATCTAATAGAAATGTGCAGGAGTTTGACAGAAATCTCAGGCTGAGCAGTGAGAGCTGGAATTTGAAATTTAGCTGATGTGTGTTATCCAAAGTCTGAGCTAGAAAATTCAAGCACCTGCCAAAGGACTTCTTGGGATATTTTAAACTTCTGTGGAATGCTTCTCAATTACTAGGTACACTAAACTTTACACTAAAAATTCAGTGTGAAATCTTAGTACAAATAAGACATTGCAATATGTTTTGCCTGTTTAGCATTTCACTTTCTCATGTTAATAATAATTTATTGGCAGTGAATTACTGCTGAATGTTGCATGGAATATTTGCAATCATGCAAATATGCAGAGGCTACTAATCCAGAAAAAATCCACGTGGTTCTTTAAAACCATCTAACCATTGCCACTGATGCTTTCTGCAGGAAAAGTAATGATGGAAGAAGAAGTGAAAGAGGAAATTTTAAAAGAAGAGATGGAAACGCATGCAGGTCCTGAAGAAGGTAATTTTGTAACTCTCTACTGTGTAATACGAGATTAAAAACCAACTGTAATTGAGAAATTAATGTTAAAATGTAAATCCAAATGCAGTGTACTTTGTGATTTGTACTCAGACTTAGCCTGTGCTCGTGCTAAGAACTTGACTAATTTAAGAGTGCACAGAGTAAGCAGCTGCTTATTAAAAAGATTTCTTCTTTGCTCCTAATTCATCTGTACAAAGTTGTATAGCTTTGGAGATTTTTTGCTTTAATATGTACTTGACAAACCCCTGGGATTCTGAAGGAATCTGAGGATCTCTGGAGGAAAGCTGAGTCTGATTTTTTTGAACTTGAATGCTCTGTGTTGGGAACTTTGTAGCCATGGGGGAAATAGGGCCTATAAATCAAAAGAGATTGTAAAATCGCGTGCTGAAATGGGAAGGGGGGCAGAGTGCTTATTTTATTCTCATTATTTTGCTGCTTTTAAATAAAAGGCTTGTTTTCCTAACACTTTGCTGTAGAACAAGTCAAATGTGAACAGTAGAGATCCTGCTATTTATCTTAACAGACCAAGCCAACTGCTGACTATATAATTTCATCATATTTATATCACTGAATAAGTGGTGTTTAAAGACTGTAATAAAAGATCTAAAATGTATTTTAAAATATATTAAATTTTTGGGTGTTCAGTTTTAAAATTATCTATGGTACCAAATGTAATGACTGCTGCTGATTATAAATTCCATAGATTGGTCCTATGTTTCTGTAAGTGTTCCTTTTAATTATTTTAATACTAAGTGCTGTTTAATTCCACTTAATGAGTTTGATTTTTAGCCTGTCAAAATATATGCCTGTCTTTAAAGCAAATAATAAAAGCAAGATGTGCCTTTCTCAGAGATTTTTCCTTAAGACATAAATGATGGACAAATATGCTGAGAGTCGATTGTTTTGAGAAGTTTTATGGAATATAAAGAAGTTTGATATCACTCTTGTTTGCCTATGTGTATGACTCTGATCTGGAATCATTACTTTGGTCCTATTTCAGTTTTTGCACCCTCTGGAAGTTTAGGAAAAACAACAGAAAAGCCAAGCAGCAAAGAGAAAGAGAAAACTTCATCAGATCCTGGATCCAAGGAAGGGTCTGATAAGAGGAAGCGCAACAGAGTCACCGAGAAGGTTCTAAATGCCAACAGCAACCCCTCGAGTCCCAGCGCCGCCAAACGCCGCAGGACGTAGAGCTGAGGAGCAGTGAAAAACTCTGGGATGGGAGGAGGGAGCAGGAAAAACAAGGAGCAGCACATGAACTTTCAGAGGAAGTAAAAGAGCCAGTATCTGAGGAATCTGCACACTGGCTTTGTCTCTCCTGGGGGGTTTTCTGGGCAGCAGCGAGGAGCCGCCTTCCCGGGGTGTGGGACAAAGCTGGCAGTGGGGAGGGTGGGTGTGACAGTGCCAGGGCTGCATTTCAAACCAGCAACACTCTGTGTCAGCACAGCTCGTGGAAAGAGTGCCCCATGGGGCACATGGACCACCAAAAGCAGAAGTGATTTCTGTAAATGTGGAAATGCTTTTTCTGCCATTGCTGTCTGTGACTTTTACAGACCATCTGTGGGTAATGTTTGGCCATTTCCCTTCCATTTGTATCAAATGTCTCAATTTGTTGGTTCAGTAAAACTAAAATGATTTTAAATGCAGATGACCACTGCATTTGAAGTATTCTGTTGCTCTCTTTGCTGGAGGAACCTCATTTCACCCTTTTTGATGTAACATTTTTCAACCATAAGTAAAGTGAAAATTATAACACCCCTAGCCCAAATAATTAATAACTGTCCTAAATAAAATATCTGGTGATGACACATGGTTTTTTAAGGGATTAGCTGAGCTGTGCCTGAACATGGAGGTGTTGCTTCATCCATTTGTAATACAGTAGTGTATGACAGTGGGGTTTGTACTTAATTATTTATTTTTTTAAAGCAGTTTTAGTAGATGTGAATGGAATTGGTTTTCCAAAATGTTCGTTTTGTTCTACAAATGAAGAATCTTGCTGACATTGTAATGCTTATCTTTTATATGCTAGAACTTTGAGATTTGATGAAGTTACTATTTTTGTGTTGTCAAAAGATGGATTGCAGTCAACACACGCCTGGTAAATGGTGAATGAAGCAGGCTGAAATGGTACTGAATTTGTTTCATTATATTAACTATCAGTTAATAAAAAAGAAGAATTACTTCTTGATCTCTCAGTATTGCCTTCAAGGTGAGGCACTAGGAGTCTTCTCATTTTTTGGCTTTATTCTAGGTACATAGCCAAGTTCTTGTGTGCCTAATTTGCTTCTCTTGTTTTATACAAAGAATAAATTTGACTTGTTTTTATTTTACTAAATGGCAGTTGTTGTGTGACTTGATTAAAATCTGGCTCAACTTATTTTAGAAGTAATTTAGCATTAAAGTGTTGATTACTGTGTCATGATCTACATAGATTTTGGCCATGAAGTGCAGATTTTGGAACTCAAGTCTCATGTCCCTGTGGGCAAACCCTTCTCATCCATGGGATTCTAATCAGAAAGTTTTGCTCTACCAGTGGAATGTTTATATAGCTTGAAGTAGAAATATCGACAACGGCGTGTACTGCTGCAACCACTCAGCACCAGCCTCACAGCGCGGAAAGTCCACTTGGGGGTTTCACGGTCAAACCAGCAACGCCGATTTTTTAGGAATTGTTTGGATGTGAAGTTGAGTATCGGCAAATGTAAACACTTTGCTTGTTGTCCCCATTCTTTTTCAGAGTGCTGGCTCTTTGGGAATGCCGTTTTTTGATTCCTATCACTGTCCGAGTCTGGGAATGTTGTTCTTTTCTCCCTGATCCTGTCCGAGGCTGGGAATGCCGTTCTTTGATTCCTATCACTGTCCGAGGCTGGCAATGCCGTTCTTCTCTCCCTGTTCTCGTCCGAGGCTGGCAGTGCCGTTCTTTGATCCTTGTACCTGCACAAGGCTGGCAGTGCCGTTCTTCTCTCCCTGACCCTGTCCGAGGCCGGCAATCCCGTTCTTCTCTCCCTGTTCCCGTCCCAGTCCCGCTCGCTCCGCCCGCCCGGGACCGCGGGCGGTGCCGGATCCCCCGGGCGCGGTGCGGGCGGGCGCAGTGCCCGCGCGGGCGGCGGCCAATGGGGCGCGGCGGCGCAGGAAGGGGGCGGGGCGTTCCCGCGCTTCCGTCCCCCCGGTCCCCCCCACACGTGCCCGGGCTTTGTGCGCGCGGGCGGGCGGTCCCACCGCCCCATCCCAGTCCCTTTCGCTTTCCCTTTCTCCTCACCTTCCCATGGCGGCCTGGTTCACGCCCAGGGCGGAGGAGGACGAGGCGGAGGACGAGGCGAACCTCTGGCAGTACGACTCCACCTGGGAGGGGGAGGATGAGGAGGAGGACGGCGAGGAGGAGGATGGCGGCGGAGGCGAGGCGGCGGAGGAGCCGGAGGATAGCGGGGAGCAGCCGGGGCAGGGCCGGGCGTGGGGCTGGCGGCACAGCCAGGTGCGTGTGGGGGGCACGGGCACAGAGCGGAGCCTGCGGGGCGGGACGGCCTGAGGGGACCCCTGCCAGCCCTTCCAGCCCCTTCCCGGCCCTTCCTTCCCCGTCCCCGGGCACAGCCGCTGCTCGCTCGGTGCCGGCGGAGGCTCCGCGGCCCTCGGGGGATCCTCGGCGCGGAATTTGTCCTCATCTTGAGGAGGCAAATCCCCCTGGAGGAGGGGGCTTGCAGGGATGCTGTCACTTCGTGACTGCCCAAGATCCGTTACATTGCCCTGAGGTGGGCAGTGTAATTGTAATATTTGAATTTGTTTTTTCCCTCTGTTCCCTATGATGTGGGTACTTTATGCCGTAAATAAATACAGGTGTGTGTGGCACCTGCCTGTTCGCCGCTGCTGATGGCCACTGGGTTTGACATTATGGCATCGATGTTCCTTTAAGTTTTTGGTTGGTATCCTCAGCTTTGTATGGCGGCCTTCCCATGCCATCAATAAAAATCCATTACATAACATCTGCTCAGTTTTAAAAATGAGCTGTAACTCTTTATTTCTCGTAGACATGTTTTATTTCTTAGGGAGTGTGTGTAGAGCAACTTGGACAACCAAAAAATTGTGTGCTTTAAATATTACAGGTATGTGTGCAGTTTGAGCAAGCTGCAAAACACAAGCACTTGTGTCTGGTGCCTTAAAATAATTTGATTTGAAATAAAATGAATTTGTTAGTCTTATCTGAAGTTTCTGTTATAGCATCAGTGGATTTCAGTTTGACGTTGGGTGTCAGTAATTTCTTCTCCAGCATTGCTTTGGTAAATAGAACTTTATCCTTTTCAGTACTTCCTATGCCAAGCAAAACACACTCCAGTGCTTTAACTCCTCCCCTTTCTGGGAAAGGGAAACCACTGCTTCACTTTGAGTTTCATTTCTGCACCTCGTCCTTATCTTTAGAATATAAACAGGCAGATAAAGCTTTCTAATGAATATACTTTTAAAAGAGCTTGATGTTAAACTTCTTTTTTTTTTTTCCTTAATAAGCATTAAAATAGAAATAACTACTTTTGAAGGAACAGTAAATTATCTGTGCGTGTAGATCTGGGAAAGGCCAAAGGTATTTTGGGTGGAATAGCTGTAATTCTGAAGGGAAGAGGCAGAGATTTCCTTTGAAGTTTTTTGCACTGTTGGTGTGCACCTTATCACCTTTTCTTTTGTACGTGGCTGGACTTCACAAGCTTTAATAACTCCAGAACATTCCCATTATTCTGTTTGAATGTGTTTGTTCTTCAGGTTCTTTTTTTTCCTTAGAGCAATTCTGGATGGTGCCAACTGTAAAATCAAGGACCATTTTTTCACTCCAGTGAGTGGACTTCTCCAGCTTTGCCTTACAAAGGAGGATGTTGTTGTCTCTGAGACAGCCCTGGAATATTATTCTGCATTTTTAAATAGGAGCTCTTCCTTCAGTGATGAATGTGTAGTCACCTCTCTGGCAATGCCCAAAAAATTGTAAGGGCACTGAGAGTGAATGCACAAAGAAGCAGTAAATCTTCTGCTAGTCATTTATGCCTTTGCAGCCTGTCAAAGGCATGGATCAATTTCCCAAACTTGTTCCTTACTTCTGCTTATTTTACACTAATTCTCATTCTTCTCCCCTCAGCCTGGATGGTTTTCTTTTTGCCTGAAGCAGATAATGTCTTTCTTTGGTACTGAGGTTAGAGTTTTTTATTGTTATTTTCACTATGCGCTTTCAAAACAAACTTAAAATTCTGCTTCTGTCTTTGCATTTCACTTGTGTCTCTGTGAGTGTTCACAGCCTGAAGTTCCTGCAGGCGTGTCTTTCCAGCTCTTTTGCATTTCAGTGCCTTCAGCTTCTGTGGGTGAGCTTTGGAAACTTTGGGGGTTGTATTCATTTTAAGAAGTTCCCTCTCAGACTGCTGTGCCACCTGGAGTTCATGATCAGCTGCTTTAATAACAAACCCCGTGGTCCTGCTTTCTCCTAAATCTGCATCAACTAAAGGTTTCAATCACTCTTCTGGACTCTTACCTTTCTTGTTCCTGTGCTTTGTTCACAATCCACATCCTCTTTTGTTCCAGCAGCTTTCCAGCTGGTTTCTCAGCCAGATCCTCCTTCTGTCCCACTCTCCTGGTTATGTTCTCAGCTTCTCTTGCCTTTCCCACAGCAATGCACGTTCTGCCTGTTGTGATGCAGGTTTGGAGTGTGAAACCCACTCAGTTTTGCTGTGAGACTAAAAGGTGTTGGATTTCTACGGGGATGTTTCAGCCTTGCTGTTTAGTTTGTGTTTCTTACCTGGAAAGAAAGGCCTTAAGTTCGTAGTCTGTAGAGACCCAGGAACAACACCTGCTTGGAGGAGCAAAGCTGAGTTTTGCTCTCTTTGCTTCCCCATCTTTTCTCCGGATTGCTGTGCTCCAGGTTGCCTTTTCCCTGGATCTGGCTTCTTTCTGGACAAGCCTTTTACAGCCTCTTACACCGTGGCATTGCATCTGTCTCTGTACCTGCAATGACTCTGCAGCAAACCAGTTCTCTTTCTAAGTGGGACCCAGTCTGCTGTTCTCCTCTCCCACCTGTGTTCAAGGATGTTACTTTAGAATCTTAAATGTAAAGAATTTCTGGGATTATTTGGTAATTTGGAACCAATTTGTCATTAATGCTACATGGCTCCATGTCTTCAGGGCAACTGAATGGGTGACTTTGTTACAGCAAGGTGTTACAAATGTAGACCCATTCCTGCCTTAATGATTAATGAACCAGTGACCAGTGTTTGTTAGAAAGTGGTTTTATTTTTCTCTGTTGTGTGATGTTAAGAAATACCAAATGATGTTATGAAGTAACATGGGGGAGTTTTTGCTGCTTCTTCTAAATTTCATTTAATGCTTGTTTTGCAAGACTCTGCACATCTTAGCGCCATTTCCCAACTTCCCTGTTCTCTCTGTGAGCTGACATTGAACCCTCTGGCTGTGCTGTGCTTTGGGTGCCCTCTGTTCATGAGCAGTCTTGTTCCTTTTGGTGGTTCTCAATCCACAGAACCCTGTAAAATCCTGTCATGGTTTGGGATAAGATGGTTCAGCAATCAGCAAGAGTAAATCTGTCTGTGTTGCTTGTGAAATGTAACAAAATTCCTTATCACTGAGGTAATCAAATGTATAAATAAATAAATATGTATATATTTCAGTTAAAATGCACTTCAAACTGAGGCATACTTGCAACTTCTATTTCCATGAAGCAGTCCAGAGGGGGAAATAAAGCTGTTTTTTGAGTTCTGTCTAAATGTCACACTTGGAATGAATCTAGCACATCTGTGATGAGAACCTGGTGCCTGTTCATGTGACACCACAGGTTTTTCTCTGTAGCAATTTGAATTATGCATAAAATACAGTGAATTCAGCTGTAACTAGGTAAATCTGTCACTTGGCAACTAATAGGGATCCTGTGAGTCACTGCTGTGGGTATTCTCATTTTGTATCTGTTTTTTTATTTTCTTAGTGTAGTTTGGTTTCAAAATGTTCCAACTAAATGCTTTTTATTTGCAGGATCAAAGCTCAAATTCCTCACTGCTGTCTTGGAGGGGTTTTCAGGTAGGCTTGACATAAAACTTGGTTACGTGGAAAGATGGTTAATAATGAAGAGTATGATTGGAAGAGAAGTCCAATAAAATAAATATCTAATGTGACCATGTGGCTCTGGTGCTGTCCACTGTCTAAATCATCAAGGCTGATCTTGAGCATAAAGCAAAGATGAAGAAAACTTTTATTTCAGCAAGGTCTGCAGGGAATGAGAATCTTGAATTCAAGGTATATTTCTGCATCCTAAATTCTACAATTTTAAGGTCTAGCCTCTGTCTTCACTAGGGGTTTTAGCAGGTCAGAGACATGTCTTGTTTTAAAACCTTTGAGTTGGGGCAAAACAATCACATTTTCGTATTTGGGTTCTCCAGCTTTTTCTGATCTTCTCCATTGGCAAACCGAAGTGGGATGAAAGAAATACATAAAACATAAAAACCTTGATTAATAAGATGAGAAGGAAAAAGAATTTTGGTGACAGGAGATGGTGTTATCTTCTCTTGGCTTAAATTTGTCTTCAGGAATGCAGAGACATGACTACTGCACCAGTCTGGTTTTGGGGTGCTGGGAGTGCAGAGGACGTGCAGGGAGCCTGTGTGAGGTGCTGAATTCAGTCAGGGCATTATATTATGTTATTTTATTTTGCAGAAGGTGATTTTATTCTGAATCTCTGCTCTGTCTCTTCTCTCCAGTGCAGCGGGAGGCGCAACTGGACTGCGGCGAGAGACCTGCAGAGATACAGAAACCATTACCCAGTACGTGCTCCTGGGCTGCTCCTCACCACTTCTGCCTGCAGCAACTCTTCCTAGATTTGGCAGCACCTTTTTGCCTTTGCTTTACAGGCTCAGCACCTTCCAAGGATTCATTTGTGAGGGGGAAGGGATGATGTGCATGTGGGTGCATCAGAAACAAGCTGCTACTTTCCAAAGCACGTTTTGAGGATTTAGCTTGAAATGTGTAGGGAATGTGAGGGAAAGAAAGGAGAGGTATTGCCTTTTAAAGGGTTGCTGCTTATTCATTTCTTTTTCTCATTTCCAGGATTTGAAAGAACCAGAGAATGAGGAGGATGAAGAGATGTGGAACTTAAGCTTTTACAAAAATGAGATTGCTTTTGTGCCCCACGGTGAGTGCCTTGTGTGGTGGCTGCTTGATGCCATCTGCTGCAGCTGGTTGATGAAAGAGTGGTTTCATCCATGTGAGATAATAAGAAACCAAACCAAACAACCCACCAAAACCACCACCCAAGCCAATAAAAACTCATAAAGAACTTCAATTTTTAAATATCCCTGCTGTGTTTTCCTTAATATTCTGGTGGTAGGAAATGAAGGTATTTTTCTGGCCAGTTGTCTTGTTGGGGAAGCTAATGCCTGTGTGTAAATATCTAGGTTAGGATAGTGAGCTGTGTGGAGTGACTGACTGGCTTAAATTTAATTTTAATTTGGTGTCACTTCTTGCCTGACCTTTTCCTTTTCCTTGCAGGTGTGAATATTGAAACTCTGCTCACATCTTGGGGGGACAAGTATGAAACGCTGGAAGAAAACCATTCCTACATACAGTGGTAAATTGTTTGCATGAACACAGTGCCTCTCTAGTTGGGCCTCTTTTAAGTGTCAGGTGGATCTGTGTTCCTGATTTCAGCTTCACACAAGGCCCAGAATTACTTTAGTTAATTGAGTTGCACTCCTCAGGAAGCAAAGCACTAGAACTCCTGAAAACACAGGTTTCTAGTGCAGCTGTGGCAATAGATCTCAGTCATTTGTGGTCTCGTGGCACAAAGTTAAGGCAAGGAGAGAGATCCACATAAGCAAAGTTTTTTGTTATTGGTGTAGACAATACTTTTATGGGAGGAGTTTACTAGAAAACCACTTCAGTGTCCATAAGTAAGGGAGTTCTCCAAGAGCTGCCTGTGATACCACAAATTTTGAAATCTCTTTTGGTTTTAACAAGTTGGGTATCGTGGGTTGGATGTCATCTTTGCTCATCTCACCTGAAAATTCCTTTCTCTTCAGGCTGTTCCCTTTACGTGAACATGGGATGAACTGGCGTGCCAGGCCACTCACCTGTCAGGAAATCCAGGTATTTATTTTAAGCTTTTGTCTCTTTTTTCTTTGAGATCTTCAGGGTGTTAGGATCCCCCAGTGTTTTTTTTCCATTGTTTCCTTGGGTTTTTAGCGTGCACAGAGCTCACAGGGAAGCATTTGCCTGTCTTGTGTCAGCAATGAAATGCTTAGTGATACAGTCAACCCTTGTTTAGAATTCAGGTGCCACTTAATCTGGTGCAGGTAATTAGGGAGTTGCATTTTTTTTTTCTAATTGCTGTGTGTCGTTTTCAGGCCTTCAGGAAGTCCAAGGAAGTCATGGACAGGTTTTTACGTGCTTACAAGCTCATGCTGGGATTTTATGGAATCAACCTGGTCAATGAAGAAACTGGAGAACTTGAGAGAGCAGAGAATTGGCGTGAGCGATTTGAAAACTTGAACAGGTGATTGTGTTGGTGCTGTTGAGCATTTACTGCAGCCAGGCACTTCTTTGAAGGGGAAAAAAAAGTCTAAACCTAGGAAATCCCCAGCCATTGAGGAATGGAGACTTTTGTTGATAAATGTTATCTAGTGAAAGTATTTTTAACTTTTATTCTGTTAAGCTACAAAATAGAAGTCTTTCCATATGGTTCCCTGATTGTTTATGAAGCACCCTTAATGTGTGTCAAATGCTTTGAGTCCTTTTGTGAAAAGTGCTCTGCAAATGGGATGGTTTTATATTATTGCAGGTTTTGTGGAGTAAGTAACTATCCTTCCTGGTGACATTAACCTCTTGAAAGGAGTGAGCATAATCACAAAAGAAAAAACAACTTGAAGTCTGTCAAGTATTAAAGGAAAAATCAGCTGTGTCTAGCTTAAGTCCTGATGTTTTGGCATCATCCTTTCATGCCTGTATTCTCAACACTACAGGCTTATCCTGCAGGGCCTCTGTTGGGGCAGGACCTATGTATCTGCCCCAACATGGTGGTTCTTACCTACTGGTGGCTGATTCAGAAAGCCAAAACCTTTCCAAGCAGCTGAGATGATGAATCCTAACAGCCCAGGGAGGGTTAGGAAGGAGCTGCTGAAGGCAAACAGCAGCAGTGGGTGCCTTAAAAGTAAGCCCACCTGTGCTCCTATTTGCATTGTCAAATAGTCTTTAATGGCTCACAGTCAGTAAATGGTAAAACATTTTGCAGATGTCCAAAGGTTCACAGTGACTTGTAAGACCTTCCCTTGACAGCTTTGCTTATCTGTGTCCTTCAGGTTCAGCCACAACAATTTGAGGATTACTCGCATCCTGAAGTGCCTGGGGGAGATGGGATATGAAGACTATCAAGTGCACTTGGTGAAGTTTTTCCTCACAGAAACTCTTGTTGAGGAGACATTACCAAATGTCAAGAGAAGTGCCTTGGATTACTTCCTGTTCACTGTCAGAAGCAAAGAAAAGAGGAGGGAACTCATCCACTATGCTTGGCAGCACTTCAAACCTCAGAGCAGCTTTGTGTGGGGGCCTCGTGACAAACTCCAGAAGTACAGACCCCGCTCTGCCAAGCCACAGCTGCACCAAAGGCCTGAGGATAAACAGGACACTCTGAGTCAAAAATGTGATCCTGTGGAGAAGGGTCAGAACCGGTCTTCAGAAGTGAAACAGAAAGCTGGAGATGCTGCAGAGTTGCAGCCTGAAATGAGTGATGAACATGTAAAGGAGAAGATAAGCAAATGTGTTTTGAAGGTAGGAGATGATGAAGAGGAGAAAGAAGCTTCGTTTGCCCAGCTGGAGGAAAAGGATTTAAAAAGTGAAGCTGAAGAAGGGCAGGGTACTGCAGAGAATGACTGCACAAAAGAGTGCAAGAAGAGAAAACTGAATGCAAGTTTGGCAGATGCTAAAGGGGATGGATCATTGAAAAACTCCGCTGATATTGAAAACATTTCCCATAATCTGGGAGAGTGTGCAATTGCTGCAGAGATCCCTTCCTCAGACCCAGTCTCCCAGGCAGAAGAGAATCAGGAAGCTCTGAAGGAAGATGATTCAAGCACCAAAGAGCCGGCGGCGCCGGAGGCCGCGGATGCGGCTGTGAAACGCAGGAAGGTTGATAAAAAAACATCGAGAGGCAAACAAGTGAACTTGGCCATAAACCTGAGCATGGGGCCCTCAGCCTCTGGTGCCAAGGCAAATCCATCTGCTGCTAATGGTGAGGCTGGAAAAGAAAGTGTCAGTGGGGAAAATGCAGCTGTGGAAGTGCCAAGTGAGAAGGGGGATGGTGATGCAGATGGTGGGGCTGTGAGACCCCCGGCTGCTTCCAGGCCCCCCAGGACTGGCTGCACTGCTCCAATCAAGGATGGCTGGAAGTCCAGTGGAGATCAAGACTCAGCAGGGAGTGATCAGCACCACTGCAACAGCAAACTCTTGGAGGGTAAAAGTGAACTAGATGGGGTAGGACAGCAGGAAAAGGTGGAAAAGGCAGGTGAAAAAGGGCAAGAGGAAGACACAGACAACAAACAAGCTCCAGAGAGTCGTGAGCAGAGCATAACACCCACTTGTCCTGAAGAAAGCAGTGCTGAGGTGCCACCAGAAAAAGGTGAAGGCTGTGAGAATGGAGCAGAGCCTGGAGAAGAGCAGGGAGCAGCAGAGTGAGAGCAGCACAGCAAGCACCTGAGCCAGCAGAGATGGCACTGACCTGTCTGCTGGGAGCCAGCTTTGGTGGCTTGGAGAACTGAATAAACTTCCTTTGGGATGATGCAGCTGGCCCCTGTCTCACTTTCACTCTTCCATGATTTTTTAATCATCTCTAGTAAATTCACTGAGATCCAGCTCTTGATTACCCTAAAGAGGAAAACTTTATTTAGTCATCTTCATGGACAGGCTGTGTCCCGTTTCTGGGTTTTATCTGATGTTCAGGGCTATCTTGGAGCAACGGGGATTTTTGCACTTTGCTTTGATTATGGTTATGTCCCTACTGAAAGAGAAGAGGAAAACTGATCTGTCTCCTTGTTTGAATTACCTAAGTATTTATTAAAGACACGATTTTTAATGTAAGACAGCATGACCTAATCTGCCAGGCCTTTCTACTGCTATGTAACTTCTGTTTGTTATTGTGAAAGGCTGTACCTTCCCAGGAGTTTTTTCCTGGCAAAAGTGCTGTTTCTCTAAAAGAGACAAGTATATGGATTTCACATGATGTCAGTGTAGTTGCCTCTCCTCCTATAAGGAAAGTAGGTTTGGCTTTAAACTGGGATAAATCTGTAGCCAAAATGTGTCTCTGACCAGTATGAACCTTTGGGTAGAGATTCTGTTCTCTGAGGTGCAAAGTGCTGGGTAATTATTTCTCTTTATCCCCGCAGAGGTTGCTTTGTAGTTCTTCTTAGAGTTAAGACTACAAATTGCTTGCTGGTTTCTGAGAGAAAAAGCTCCAGGTTTTGCATAAAACTCTTTAGAGCTGCTCTTCCCCATGTTTTCCAGCCACTTTATAGTCTTCCACAGATTTTTTTCTCCATGACTGTTTCAGAGGCCCTCATTTCTCAGTTGCCAAAGCAGCACAAATATTTCCCAGTGCATTTTTTTCAGCCTTTGCTGGTAATTTGCAGTGGCCTGGGGGGCTCTTTCTTGCAGGCCCATGGCGTGAGGTTTGATGTGTCAGATCCAACCTGTTTCCTACTTAGAGCAGGGTTGCTTTGCCTTTAATGTCAGACAGCCAGGGCATGTTCCAGTGCAGCACGTCTGGAAACCACTGGGCTTTGTGGGGCAGTTAATTGAAACGTTAATTGGAGAGGCTACGCTTGTCTGGTTCGTTTATTTCCAGCCCTGAAGAATTTACTTTCAGACCTTGCCAGCTCTTTGCCTGCCTCTGTTCTTGGCCTCCCTGTCAGCTGTTCTGCTGCACTACACAATATTCCACCAGGTCTGAAGGAGCATTAAAACAGTTTAGCACCTTCACTCCTAAAGATTTACAAGAGACAATCTGTTTCATGAAGCAGAGGAAATTGTTTCCAGCAGCCTGAAGGTCTGGACTTGCTGTTTGCTCGGGTTGTTTGGGTTGGTTTGGAGGTTCTTTGGTGCTGTTTGGTTTGTGTAGGAGATGGCCAGAGAGCAGATGCAGCAGCTTGTGCAGTGTCAATGTTTTTCCTCTCTGCTACAGCTCTTAACAAGCTTTGTCTTTCAAGGAATTTAAAGAGTGATTTGCCTTCCCAGACTGTAGGTTCTGATCCAGCATGCCACATATGTGTGTGGGAATAAAAGTCTGCAAGCCTAACCTCTGATGTTCATGGTCACACACGTACTGAAAAAAGGCTTTAATGTTTTTTAAATACTTCTTAAGAACAGATGGAGGTAAATAGCCAATAAGAATACACTTAACTACAGATAGAAATACTTGAAGATGTTGAGTGAGAATTCTTTCCTAACAGATTCTTAAGAATTGTTAATTGTGGCTTTTGTACAGATTTATAGTAATTTTCTTATTTAATGAAATTTTCATTGTGAATATGTGCTCAATTGGGGCATAGATCCTATATCTTGTTATGGTTTTGTGTTTAATGAGATTTCACTCTGAGCCCCAGCCTGGAGTGAGTGCTCAAACCAACCCTTCCCCTCTCCTAGCAGGTTTACTTTTGGCTGTAGGTGTGTGTGGTGAGTTCACAAGGTGTTTGCCAGCACTCAGAGCTGTATCACAGAGTCTGTTCTGTTAATTCCCCTATTAAAGCATGACTTCAATGCATATCAGTTTCCTTTTATATTTTTTCATCTTTGAGGGTAGAATATGACCATGTATTTACCCACCCCCCTGGAGCCATGAGCTGTTGCTGAGATCCCCCCAACAAGAGGTGCTCTGCTGGGCTCACCATGGCACACACCTGCTGTTTATTCCCTGTGGAGGTGATGCCCAGTCTTCCTCCACTTCTAAAAGGTGCCCAGTGAATGTTTTGGAGGAAAACACACCCCCCCACCCACCCACCCAATGCTGTTTGTTTAATGATGTGCTTGGAAATCATGGAATTGCAGAATGGTTGGGGTTGGAAGGGACCTCAAAGTTTATCTTGGGTCACCTTCCACTGGACCAGTTTGCTCAAAGCCCCATGCAGGCTGGCTTTGAACACTTCCAGGGATGGGGTGTCTGCTGGTTTCAGAATGTTTTGCATTGCTTTTGCAGCTCTGCTCCCACAGGTGTTGTGGTGCTCTGCAGAGCAAACCAGGACTCTGCTTGGAGCATCCCCTGGGGCTCCTGCCCAGCCTGGCTGTGGGAGCTTCGGTGCAGGGTTTTTTTCCCCTCAGAACACAAGAACAGGGGTTTATTTGTGGAAACATTTCCTCTAAGTCACTGTGTCCCCTCAGCTGTGCTGCCTGTGCGTGTGGGATGGAGGGTTGCTGGAAATCCTTCTGGTCTGTGGGATGGTCTTGAAGGTGAACACTCCCAGGGCCCTTCCTGAGCTGGTCATGGGCAGACCTCACCTGCTGCAGCCCCCCAGGCCCTGGCTGGCTCTGGATAAGATGTGGCTGAGGAATTTGGGTCTCCTTTTCCTTCCCTCCTGTCATCAGTTGGCCTCAGTGTGGAGGAAGAGGTACAAGCTGTGCAAAGCTGCTCTCTCTCTTCACGGTTTGGGCTGTCTAATAAAGGATTCCTGTTACTCTGAAGCCATCAGAAGGCTTAGAGACACACCTTGCCTTTCTGTCCCCAGCTGCCTGTTCCACAGAATCTTGTGGGAACTTGGTAAATCTGAGTCCTTTATCCCTCTGCCAAAGCTCCAGGAATGCTGGCTGCTGGAGAGCTGGTCAGACAAACACTGTGCTCCTGCAAGCCTCCTGTTGTAAAGATGCCAAGCTAAAATCAGGTATTTCAGTTCCTCAGCTTTGATTTTCCACTTCTCCTCTTGTGTTCCTACCCAGATGAGCTGTGTCATTTCAGCCCTGAGGAATCTGGCCACTGTTCCTCTCCACTTCCGAGCCCTGCTTTGGATGAAATTGCCTTTAATCAATAAAGGGAATTGTGAAGCTCATTGCAGGAGATGCATCTTCATGAATCTATTGCCATTTGGGATCACTAGACAGGGAATTCTCCTTCCTTCCTCACAGTATTTCAAATATTTCTTTGTGCCTTTCAGTATGCTCCTCCTTTTTCCTTCCTCCTTGTATCTGTCTGTGATTGTCTGTTTTCTGACCAGCATTCATCACTTCTCAAGGAATCAGTGCTCTTCAGATCACTCTAAAAAAAACCCCCGAAACCAGATGAGAACAACCTCCAGAGCTAACAAAGCACCTCACTAAGCAGTAAGTGCATTTCTCTGTGGTGATCGTGTTACAGGCTTCTTAATGTCCCTGCTGGAGTTAGGTGGCCTCGGGCACTGAAAAACTCACCCTGTGTTCCTTTTTACCTCTCCAGCACACAGGTGGTGATGAGCTTTGGGAAATCTCCTGGGTGAGACCTAAGGAACAGCTTTGTGTTTGCAGCTGGAGTAACCCAGTTTTGCTCCTGTGTCCCATCTCCCAGTCCAGCCCTTGCAGAGGCTCCTGGAGCAGGAGGCTGGGGCTGCCCAGCAGGGCATGAATGAGAGCTGCTCTGCTGCTCCCCCTCCTTCTCCCACCTCCTCTCCTCCAAGCTCGGCCCCTCTCCCTTGCTCCAGCTGGAGCCACAGGTTTATCTGGAGGCGAGGAGTCTCTGCTCTGTAAGCTGAGAGCCGCGAGGAGGAGGAGGGATCTGCTGGACCCTGGAGGAGAAAGGGTTTGGCTGCCTGGAGGAGAGGGAGAGAGGCAGAGCCTGGGCACCATGGCTGGAATCTCTGCTCTTGGGCTCCTCTCCCTGTGTCAGCTCTTGGCCACAGCATCGGCTCAGGTGAGAAACCTCATTTGTGTCTCATGCTCCAGGGTAAAAAAGAGTGTGTGTTGTACCTGTGGGGTGAAACGTGGCGATAGGCAGTGATTATTATTAAGTTTATTACAGATGTGCACCTGGGTTTGTACCTGTGTGGGGTAGGTATAAAAACTGCCGCTTTCTGTTTCTGTAGAAGTGGTGTTTTCCCATTCAGGACTGCAATTATGAGAGGGAAAGCCTTAGGGCAGATCTGTAGATGCAACAGAAACAGCTTGCTTTTTCAATGAAGTAATAGATCTCCAGTGAAACTGATCTGATCTGGGTCTTTATCTGAATCAGAATTTCTTACTCACTCCCTCAATCAATTTTCAAATTTTACACGTAACAGCATGTTTAACCCTTGCTCACTTGAGACATGAAGCTGTATTAAACTTCCCTGTCTGGTGTTAATATTATTGTCTGGGGAAGTGACTCCTCAGTGAGTTTTTCATTGTTAGTTAGGAATTTTCACAGCCTGGCTTGGGAATTCAGAACTCTGCTGTGAGCAGAGCTGCTTCTACAATGAAACCTTTGTTCCCTGAAGTTACAGTAAGTTGCTCTCTGGAGCCCTCTCCATACAGAAGTCATTTATTGGACCTTTCTCTCCTTCCCCCCACCTCAGACCTTTCCAAAATCCCAGATTTTCAGGGGGCACCCTGCTCAGAAAGGAGACTGTCCCTTTCTCCTCCTGTCTTCATTGGTGTCTGCCTGGCTTTGCCATCACCCCATCAGACTGGGGCTATAAATTCATTATTTCTACCAAGCACTCGGCACCTTTTCCATGGGCTCTGCCCAACCCAAAACGTGCCTGTAGTCAGAACAATTTCCTATACAACAAAACCCCTTTGCTGCCCAGTGTCCAGTTTGCATTCCCAGTATAGCTGCCAGTAAAAGGAGCTGGGATGTGCTCAGTCAAAAGGGTTTTCCAAAGAGCCTTGCACTGCTCTGGAGCAACTCTGAGCCCACCCAGGCTGGCAGGGGGTGCAGATTTAGTGTTAAACTGTAGGATTCTGCCAAAGATTTCAGATCTAGCCCATGTGTTCCTTCTGATGGAAAAACAAGCTCTTGTCTCCCACTTTTCCCCAGTCCCTTCCAAGAATTGGACCACAAGGCCCTCCTGGACCACCAGGACCCCCTGGACCATCTGGCAAGGACGGCATTGATGTGAGTGACACAGGGCAGGGCTGGCTGAGGCAGGGGTGGGGCAGAGGAGCTGCTCTTGCTCTCCACATCTGCAGCCTCTGGGCATCCCTGGGGGATGGACCTGGAAAATCCCTGTCCTGCTCTGCAGGAGCCTGAACAGCCAGTGGAGCTGCTGATCTTTGCAGGATCAGTCCCTGTCCCCAGGGAGAGCTCACGGGTTTGTGACCCTGCTTGCAAAGTAGAATGTTTCTCTTTTTGTGCAGGGTTGAGTGCAGGGGTATGATGTGTGTGGGGTCAGCACACGTTCAGCAGTTCAAAGACAGATTTATGTGATGCTTCAGAGCATCTGCATTTCTAGAGAGGCTACAAGAGACCCAAATATGCAGCACTGGACACTGCTTTTGTCTTATTAGTTTTATTTCAATATTGTCATCATGGTTATCCCTCACTTTGGCACAGGATGTGTCAGGATCTGGCTCTTGTGTTGCCAGACATGAGTTTGTAGTGGCCCAAAAGGCAAACAAAATGAAGAGCCTTTGTTTCAGCAGGCAGCTCCCTACAGCTCCTGCAGAGGGAGAAGACTACATAACCCAGGACTTAATGGAGGAGAAAATATTTTTCTGTTACTTTTAATTGATGTTTCCATAGAAATTTAAAACATTGCTTCTGTGCATGTGTTAGATAAGGACTGAATTGTGTCCTGTAGTTGGCAGTGGATAAAATGAGCATCAGATGGACCTTGCAAGACCACATCAAATGCAAAATCTGGGTTCCTGCTTTGATTTCCAGTTTGAGCAGCTCTTGTCTCTCTGAGCTGCCTATGGATTAGTGTAGGGGTTTTTAATGCTCCTCTGAAGTGCATTTATTGGAATTGGGCCCTTAAGCAACCTTGAAAAAATCTATTCATTCCATGTAGATCATTTTCTTTTGAATAAGGAGGTAAAAAAAAAAAAAGGTATGAGTTGCCTGGTACATGGGGAACAAGGAGTGTTTGTGCCTGCAGTGGGGAGCTTTCCCTGCAGCTCCCTGAGCCAGGCTGGGCTGAAGAGAGAACCTCATTGATTTCCAGCTGCTCCCTCTGAGTGTCCTTTTGGCTAAAGGAGTCTGTATTCCTGGGCATCTCCCTCTGGTTTTGTGGTGTGAGACGTTCAAAGCTGACAGCTGTTTTTTGTGGTGTTTTTGGTGGTGTCACAAAAGGCTTCAGGGGACACCCCAGAAGAGGGCAAAGGACGCTGGTTCCAGTTTGCAGCAGTGGAGTCCCTGCAGCAGGGCATTGCTGTGGCCAGCACACTTTGGGAAAGGCTGGCTGTGATCCACTGTGGAAGCAAAAAGAAGAGTTTGGGAAGGATAAAACCCTTCAGGACTTCAAGTTTCAACTTCTGCAGAGAGGAAATGGGAAAGAAACCCCGTAGTTGTTCAGTTCCTGCTTTCTACAGGAAATTAAACTCCAGAACAGCACCAGCATGGCTTCTGCTTGCTCTTGGAAACAGGAGCCCAGGGAGGTGTCAGTCATGTGGACCTACTCCCCTTTATCCACAGCTAAGAGCTTTGGAAGGCTCCCCATGGGACAGGCTCAAATAACAACATCTAATTAATGTGAAGAACTTAGTCCTGATAAATCAAGTGGCTGGGTGAAGTGTTTAAGATGCAAAGTCCTGCAGTCCCAACTTCAGCCTGGAGTTTTGGCTACACAGGAATAATCTCTAATTTGAACAGACTTGAGCCCATCC